CATTTTCAACATACTATGAGTTTTCCTGGAGGAAGACAACCCCTGGATTTTGATTCTTGACCCAATTAAAGACTTGTCTCTGCTTTTCAGACCGACCCAAACCTCTAGCATTCAGTGAAAGGATGTTAATTTCCGAAGGACCCATATTTTTGATAAAGTTTGCAGTTCAACCCCCATAGTACCTACACTTTCTTTTATACTGACTTTTTTTTCTGTTTTAGAAAAGAACAAAACAAGAAACAAGAACCCCCCCCCCAGCTAAGGTTACAGCCACCAAACATAGCATGTAAATCAGAGTCAAAATCAACTGAACAAATACCAGTGTTACACTCCCTCCCCGTGGGCTAATAATCAAAACAAATCATCTCGTGGTAGAAATATTGTACGAACTGAAAAAAGTAAACTTAATCTAATTTTAAAGTCGCAAATGAAACATGTAAATTGCAGGCAACCATTTTATAACAAACAGCTCACAATAAGTGGCTCTAAATATAACAACAGTAAAACACAATCAGCTCCAAAAGGTAGCTTTAAATAGTACGTTTACCCTTTCGTAGCCGGTATTGTGTGATAGGTATTTTTGATGTATCGAAACCTTTCACTTAGGTAACCAGGATTCGATTGTTCCCCACGTTGGACTCACAAAAAACACACGTACAAGCTCGATTCGTGTCACATTCGATTCTCTACTGCCTCTCATTTCTTCCCGAGACAGCTTCAAATCACCTTTATTACTTGTCAACCATTAGCCAATTACAATACAGTGTAAGAGACTTTGAGGCGTTGCCTCCAAACAAACAGCCAATCACACGAAAGTTTTACACATCATAATACAATTGATTAATCGTCACTATATTAGAAAAGCCACTATCACATCGTCAACGTCAGTTTATATTTATGGGTACTAATGGTCTTGCAATAACATTCCACAGTTGACATCAATATACATCATTAGTTCTGGTCTACGACCAAAGCACCGCATAAGCTTTAAATCGCAAACTCATGAGAATGTGTCGTCTGGTCTCGACCAGTTCCGTCATCTGGCCTCACCATTTAACCTTTTTCAGTAGATGTCATGGCAACCACTATTAAGCCGACTGGCTTCATCATTTAACCGTTATCAGTAGATGCCATGGCAACCACTATTAAACCGAAATATAAATCATGATAATTGCCAGTGTCCCGGTATGTTTAGCCATGACAAAGACATGACATGACAGTTTCTCAAACAAAATGGCGATCTCTCTTTCACAGTCTGACCTTTCAGTAGTTGGGTAACATCCGGTTGCTCACGCTCGTCGTTCCGCAATGATAAAGTTAGGCATGGCTTACTTACTATTTCATTCCCTGTAAAGTTTGCCGTCAATAAACAGTCTGCCATTGGCGAAGCAATTCACATTTTCGCTTGTAGTTCGCTCGGGTGAAGTCTTCCGTACTGCCTCGTTCTTCAGTATAGTTTTAGCCTTACGCAACACGGCGATCCTTTCTGGTCGTCTCAGAAACTTAACAATAATATGAGGAGGAGATTTGGACACTTCTAGATGCTGGTCGGTTTCCTGTATAGATTCGGTGCGCGTTTTCTATCATGGCGGCGCGGTCAGACCTTGAATATCGTGTTATCCTTAGTGCTTCCTCTTTGCTTTCTTTCAGTTTAGATTTGTTTTTCGGCTTGCTCCAATCGACCATCAACGGCCATGTGGTTGATTTTCAGTTCGGACACCTCGATTGAAGTTTCGTTTAGCGAGCGTTCAAAATCTTCTTGTTTTTTCTCCATTATTTCAAACCTTTCGGTTATCGAGCGCTGCTCCTCGTTTAGCTTGTCCATTTTCTTCTCCAATCTGCAGTGCAGAGACTAGTTTTCAGAAAGGTCTTGAAATCGTCGTTGTTATGCATACCCGTTTCGTGTTCACTTTCATTCCCTCTAGATTTATGCTCGTCCTTATATGGGACCTTCGTATCACGTGCAGTGTAGGTGACAAACCCCTGCAGCGAATTTGGTTGGCGCGATGTCGTTTTAGATATCTTCGATTTTGACGTTTTTGGAGGCATAATTATTCATGCAACTTATCCAAGTTAGCCACGAGCATTTCAGGTTGCCGAGTTCACGTTCAAAATTGCGGAACCTTCGCTATTTTACTGCTAAAATACCCAGAGCCCACGGTGCGAGCCGGTCAAAGATTCGTTTACATGTCGTAACCTTTGACTCCTAAAGCAGCACTTTGCAAATATGTGAAATACTTTGCAAATATCACCCGAGAACAAGCTTAAAACATACAAGTTGCACAAAAAATATTAATAGTTAAAATTAAATATCTGTCACTGATATTTCCACACATTTCCACATTAGAGTACTGGACGTTGTTAATTTTTTTTTTAATTCCACATCACCCAACTAAATGATCGACAATGTATGGTGAATATATCGATCAGTGGTGATAACTCAGACATAGAATATGAGATGCAACAGGAGATATGTATACTTTAGTAAAAAAAATGATACATGATGATCGTCAGGTGTAATTTTTAATTTTCAAGAATTGTTTTTCAGTTGAACTATTTATTTAATTTTTAATGCAATGCCACATTTGGTCCTACAACTGTAACCGCCAAAACGCAGGTTTTTCCGACTCCGTAGCATTAGGAAAGCAACAATAATCATTATTTCCCCGGTAGAATGTGCATTTGAGTTGGCGCCCTCTATCGCTTACTTGTTACTATATTGTTTGTTTTTTGATATGTGAGGTCGTCACTGGAATATGGTAGTGTTGTTGTTCCCCTGGAACTAAAACTAAATTGTCATTCCACTGCCACTATGAAGCAAACCATTGGTCATGGATGGCATAGTTAGTTAGTTAGTAAATTAGTAAAATATACAAGTTTGAAAAAGATTGGAAATAAACTGTTTAGGTAACCACAATATATACCGGAAACAACAATGAAAACGAGGACAGACAATTATCCCTATTATACTTTCATCTATTGTATTCGAATAAACTAAAAACTATCTGTAAACTCATTTGCCTGTCATATACCACGGATTTTAAAGTAGCATTTTGCAAATATGTGAAATACTTTGCAAATATCACCCTAGAACAAGCTAAAAACATACAAGTTGCACACACAAAATTTAAATGTTAAAACTAGATATTTTAATGGTAAAATTTGGTGAGTAAAAATATTTATTACCACTTCTGTAAACACATAACTATGAAGAATGTGCTTGCAAATTATAAGCAAAGTCAGTGAATGAAAACAAATAATTGAAGAAGTGAAACACAGGAAGGACAATGTGCACGTTACTGAGGACGTCTCGCACGACAGAAGATTTCATGTCACATTGCTTTCATGTATCAATTCAATTCGCGATTTGGAATGGAATTAAAATAGGCAACTACTAGAATAATAGATACTAGAATTAATATCCACAGCCAGCATAAATCCAGAAATTAAACACAGGACACGAGAATAAGCCGATAATAATTATCTCACCGTTAGCCAGTTATACATCATTATTCAAAGATATACAGAATATGCTAAAAAGTAAATGGAATGAATCTGTTTCTGAAATAATTTAAAATTTTTAGTAAATGAATCTGTTTCTGAAATAATTTTAATAATAGTAGTAGTAGTTATTTAGTATACTTTTATATTTATACATACCCATCTATGCACAATTATATTCTAAGATTAATACTGCCTCGAGAATAGTGGATTGATGTTATTTCTGCTGTAAAAAGGTTATATTGGAGTTGAACCCAAACACAAACAACA